ATAGTTTACGAACACATGGACTTTATATGAAATTACTTCCCGTGTTTATGGTTTAAGAACGTGTTTAGAGTAGGGCGATAACACATTTTTCTCATGGAAATAATTTGTGATTCGTTTTAGATTGGTTTTCGACCTGGCTAAAATACACCCAGCCACTCGATCCAGTCAACCAGCGAAGGGAGAATCGGTCTAAATAGTAATAGTGGGACAATTATTTTCCGACAGATCCTGTACCCCTGTTTATGTCTTGACCTTTAGCGTGGCTCTGTTGACTATTTGTAATTGTAAATGGATTCACGGAATTTCAACCACTAGGCTTCACAGGCCATCGAGGAAAACTGTCCGGATGGTCGGTGATGTAAATATTACAACATTATACATGACAGTCATTATTATTGTCAAAAGGTCACGCTAAGTTTCGTGTTACGGGCACATTGCCTAATCGCGCTTCTGATATCCAAACATCCACTTGCTCCTTCATAGAGAGCTCAACCAAATATGATCTCTTTTGAAAGGTCTTCTGAGGGAGATTGTCTTGTGACCTTATACATTGTTGAATGATGGTTTTACCTCTGGTCTTACAGTCTCTCATTATAACCAAGTTAATAATGATCTTGTCAGCCCAACCCTTCTTCGCTTTCCAAATAACAATCACCACTTGGAATGGTACATACGCGATACGGTGTTAATTAGTGTATAATCCGTTCCCAAGTGACACGTACAATATACTTTAGCGGCTTATTACACATTTCTGCCACCTATTTGACTTAGTTGAATCAGAACCTTAATGTTTAAGTTAGGTACATTACATCAGCACCTAGGATGAACTCTGCTCATCAAAGTGCAGTGAAACATGCGTGTTCATCGGCTTACCACCCACTACAGGTGAAAGGAAGAAGGCCTTCGCTGCGGAGTTATTTATCAGGAAATGCCAACTGAACAGTTACAAACCATTGGACAGGGAAGCAAAACTCTTATATGCATCTTCTTTACAAAAACTGAATACCCATCTTCTCTTTGAACGTGTCTTTCTGAACTTTCCTGGACATCCGTTGGCTGTTGCTCAAGTCCAACCAAATGCTGCAAAGCGAATCCACAAATTCCGCAATAGATCTCACTTTTCAAGGGACGCAAAGCGGATTTACAAGAAAACATACTACTCGCGTGTCTTCCCCATCAGTAGTATCACCGTTACATTGGTAGCGAACCGCTCTCTAGATGACCATTAGCTGAGTGCAACGCCGAGATTATTCCGTTTGTGCTTATCCAAGCTCCAATTAACCCTAGTTCAACGCTGGATTGTGCAAATAGAAACACTTTGCTGTATGATGCGGCAACAATCGTAAAACTTCACAACATAAGGAATACGGAGGTCGCACAGCTACTTGGAGTAAACGACGTGATCCGGTCGGTTCCACCTATCCTTTTGTTTGTAACCATAGAGTGCAGCTGATGTGGGGTGTCAGATCCACACAAGCATTTCACAGGGGCAGTCGGCTGGGGCACACGGAGGGATATCCTTCAAATTCCTGTTAGCATGCAACCGAAATTCAGTGCTTTCATACGATCCAGAAACCGTTACAGCTGGCTGAACGACGTTTGAATGCGGACAGTAATTGATGGCCTCTTCGATTTCATTTCATTTGAGAGGATCTAACGTCTTTTATAGACTGGTTTCTTGTTTTAGGCAACCAAACATCTAGTATGAGTAAATGGGAGTGGGGCTACTTCCTTCAGATAGACTTCCTTCTTTTTCCGTATCACTGAGCATTGTTTGTACTTGGAGCTGTTCTACCACTCTGGACAGGTATTCTGTCACAGAACACGGAAGATTTGAAGTTGCTTTGGATTTCGGACTATCGCAGCACATAATTCTGATTCCACAAAGTTTTAAATTGTAAGCGATTTCACAACTGGTCGGACCCACAAAATTTAGTCCGACTGAGAACATATCGGGCGTTCCGGCGAGGCAAGTTGCGATCGACGAAAGCTCTGAAACCGACTGAGCAGGCATCATAAATTTCGACTACAGAATAATCAGTCAACACTTTGTCTATAACAATGTGTAAACGCGTTTTGTAAGGACTCTGATTCGAGATTGTCTTAACTCGTCAGTGAAGTCTCGATGAAACCGTACTGTAAGATTTTCCTTTCATTTCATCGAACCCGTCTTTCAGTTTTCAGTATCTTAATTCATTGTCATTACAACACAACCCTGATCATTGTGGGTGTTGTTCTCACTAGTAGCTAACAAACATTTCATCCCGCATATTCTACTAGTCTTGAAAGACGGGTTATTCTGTTATTTTCTCGCTTTCTGGATACACTCTCATTTCCAGTATTTATTACCGTATCCAGTTTGCTAGTTCAGGTACTTTCTTCCTCGTCCGAATCAATCAATCACGGGAAGGATTGTCCGTCAGACGAGACCACTTCAATTTGGTCCTGAAGGGTATTCTTAATTCAACTCAGGATGACATCCATGAGTGAATTTTTGTACACTTACACTCTGACGGATTGTAAGCTGCAGTAGGAACGGTTTGCTCAGACTTATGTTGATTTGGCTGGAAATCTCTGGAAACTGGTTCCCCGTGCGTATTTACCAGCAGTGGCTAACTGAGAAAGCACATCTCTCGCAATCCTATTGGTCCGTTTGCAATTTGCGTTGCGCTGTCTTCCAAATTACTCGCATTAGATTACAGACAACAACGCAACACAAAACGCAAGTGGATCAAAATGATGGAGAGAAAGATCTGTCCTAGTTGACCAACCCTATCGACAGATATCGAATGGTTCCGGAAAACTATATAATTCCAAACATGGAGTGAGGGATTACCCATCCAACCACGCATCATTCGGTGGTGCAAAGCTTGCAAGCTAGTTAAAAACCTCGGTGAACAAATCCTAAGCCATAGTTTTCGAAGAGGTTTGGTGACTATCGGTAGATTTATTTCTGGAAACGTTTTGGTTTTGACACAAAAGCTTCGTCAGGCCAAGTGACTAGGTTCCGAGATTCAAGGCGGAAGGAGAACCAATCAGTTAAGTCAAACCAAATCTCGGTTGGGTGTCGGCCGAGTGATTCTTGTGTGTTAGGGTGCGTGAACAGGTGTTGGGCCGATGGGGAAACCTACATGTGTTTGGGTGCAGCCTAGGGTTAAGTTCTTCTGGTTCAGTCCACTTGATGATCCCTCTTGAACGTCGTTCGAACTTTCTGACCTTTTTGTGGATGACCTAGTGCTCAGATAGTTGTGTAAGAGAAATGTTGTGGACTTTGGTCGGGTCAGGATTTCCACCACACCCCCTGTTTTTGCTAATGATTCTACGTGGATTGACAACCACGCTGTCACGTGTCAACTCGGCCTATCTAAGACCGCTTTACACACCCTCACCAGTCCCACACCCTCGATTCCATTCACGCTGTGATGCTTAGTAATCTCCACGGCCCCGGCTATCAGCCGCTATGGTATGATTCGCAGTCCCCGTCCTAAGACTACTACGTTCTCCAGATCTATTCTATGCCCTTGTCTAAGGCATCTCTGAGTCTTTGACCAGCGTTTGGTGGTTTGTTTACCCTTCGTTTTTGCTCACCAATTCTCGACCAACCTCGGAATCTAGTCTTTTGGCCTGACGAAGCTTTTGTGTCAAAAGAAAGCAGCGTTTGGTGGTTTGTTTACCCTTCGTTTTTGCTCACCAATTCTCGACCAACCTCGGAATCTAGTCTTTTGGCCTGACGAAGCTTTTGTGTCAAAAGCGAAACGTTGCCCAGCAATAAGTCTACCGATTGTCACCAAACATTCTCGAAAACAATGACTACTAAATCGGTTCATAGCATTCCTCACCCGATTGAAATCCTAAGCCACTTCATTAACTACCAGTGAACCGGAAATAACAAAGCGTAGGTGTCAAGCGATACATTTGTCGTAATGAGTGAACCAGTGCAACAATGAAGGCTGAAGTGGGCATTCACTACAATAATTAAGTGAACAGTTTTCGACTAGTACTACACGTCATAGAAGACCAAGGAAATATAAAACATTGATGTCAATCGTCTAGAATATTCACATGAGCTGCGGCAGCTGGGGTAAAACATAATTAGGAAAAGGCATGGACAGGAGACACAGTGGTAAGCGTTTCGAAGATTAATGGCTGTCGAGAACGTCTTCTCAATATTCACAGTGTTATGGGACTTTAAGAGACTATAGCCAATCTGTCTGTTTTAGCTAACAGGGTCAATCAAGAGCTCACTTCAGCTTTAAAAGGAATGTGTAGTACTGCGCCTAGTTCAGGAGGCTATACCTACGAAAGCGTGAGTGTAGCTCATCAGACTTAATTTTTGCCCGTATAAACTGTTATTGAGATATCTGCATTAGCAGGACAAATGGAATTTAATCGCAGCGCACGGCTCAGTACACACCAAAATAAACCCCTAGGTCAGAAGCGTACTTAAACATAAAATTTCCAATCAGCGTCTGCAGTCGCAAGTCCGTCACGAAGAGACTGGACCTTGAGATATCTGGCAGGACAAATGGAATTTAATCGCAGCGCACGGCTCAGTACACACCAAAATAAACCCCTAGGTCAGAAGCGTACTTAAACTAAACATTTCCAATCAGCGTCTGCAGTCGCAAGTCCGTCACGAAGAGACTGGACCTTACCGTGGTGTGACGGTTTGCGCATCTCAGCGATCCATTGATCTATACTGGAGAGTGTCTCGCGACACTCACAGAGTCTCTCATACCAGGTTGGTCAGTGGTTAGAGGTCTGACGAACACAGTCTCCTGGCCCTCCAGGTTGGGGGTTGGAACATGTGGCGACTTGTTCCGTAGAAATGGTAATGCATTTGCATTTCCCGCCAAACACCGCTGCCTTGCGGTTAGGCTTTTGAGCCAAAGGCTTTGGTTGAGGACCCTAATCATCCTCCTGTCTAGGCGTGGGCGCCCTGGCAGTATCCCAGCCCACATACAACCATGAATTGCACATACACAAGTAAACTCATGCCATCAGCCGGGTCGCCTTACTTGCTGCATACAGCAGGGCGGGTAAGCGAAAACAGGCTACTGCTGACGCCTCCCTTCTTTCTCCTTCACAT